TAAATGATTGAATTTAAGTTTCTAGGTTGATTCTAGTGTCATTTAAGACTTGTTGGAATTTTGAGAGAGAATAAATCTGGTGTAGAATTCAGTTGTTAGTTATTGGAGGTGTCTTTGCATACTCTTTTATTCTCTTAAGTGGTTTTGGATGGTGAAATTTTAAAGGAGTAGGCCTGAGCTGTAGTGGATGGTTTGGGATTAGTTGTTATGCTCTTTCTAACTAGTTTATACCCCTAAGTTGTTAATTTATGGATTAGAAGGCATAAAAGATATATTAGGTAGTTTAGAGTAGTCAAGTGGGTTTAGGGTAGTCACTTTGAGTTAAAAACGTGTTTTTGAATCATTCATAGAGCCTAGGAGGTTGTAGGAATCAATGAAATATGTGTAGAAGGTAACCAAGATCATATTAGAGGTGTTTTAGGTACTGGTGTGGCGTTGAGCCCCCTTTTAAGGGCGCTTAAGCACCATTTTCCAAAGAGTTTCGTGACTCAGTCACATTGAGCGCCCCATTCCAGTGGGTTCTGACGCTTGAGTGCCTCATTCTAGGCGTTGGGCGCTCTTTTATAGGTTTTTGGTTTAAGGTGTTTTAAGTTGTTTTGTGATTTTTGTTGCATTGTTTATGGTACTTTGATGGATGTTTATTGGTTTCATGTGATTGTCCACTATGTTTATATGAAGTTATATATTTGTGAATGAAAGGTGTGGAAAAGAGTTCCAAGGAGGAAATTCTTATTGGTAGTTTCAAGTGTTGTTGGTATGAATATGCAACTTAATTCTGGGGGGTTATCTTGACACTCTAATGATCATCCAACTCAAATAGAGAGATGAGTCATGTGGTAAGAGTAGCAGGACGTCCTGGTCTGGGGTCTTTCTTCAATTGACAAAGGGCACTTTAACAGACTAACCATGTGTGGTAGCTTTGAACAAATCATATGTTCCACCACACAAGTGCAGAACCTTCCATAGCTCTATCTTCATACTATATCCAAATAGTACACTCTAGGTCTTAACATGATTAATATGTTTGAATGATTTTATGTGATATATGACTCATGTTTGAAATGTTAATGTATATATATGTTTTTGTATCACTAGCTTACATTTCTGTTTGTGTATTGTTTGTTTGTTTTTTTGCATTGTTATGATGACTATGATTATTTGGTGGATGTAAGCATAGGGTGATAATGTTTTTGTCAAGTAAGCTTTAAAGGGAGGACTAGTAAATATTTAGTTATTTTTGAATTATTCACAAAGTATATAGTTTTGTTGTATTCTGCTTATATTTAAAGTTTTAAATTTATGATTATTCTAAAAGTTTTAAATTTATGATTATTCTAAATGATTGTGAAATTTTTATTCCTTATCTAATTAAGTGTTTTTATGTTATTGATTAGTTCTTTTGTTGTATTTTTACTATATGAGATACATGTGTTAAAATTTATTTTAATAAAACTTGTTACATGATAGATTTATTATTTTATTTAATCGATAACTATAAAAAGTCAATTTCATTTCACTAAAAGTTTATTATTTTAATATATAATTTTCAATTGAATATATAAATAAGTATAAGTTTACTTTTTTTTAATATATAATTTTATTTGAGAACTTATTAGTTTTTTATTAAGTATTTATAATATTTATATTTTTCAATTAAATATTTATTATTTATTTTTCTATTAATTGAATAAGATGACTATTCTGTTTGTTGTTGAATATATTAAAAATACACAAGTTTTTGTAAACAATATAAAAGTGATATTACTATTAATCTAAATCGAGTGACTTTTATTATTGTTATACAAAATATGTTTTATATTAAGAAAATTTTATCAATGATGCTAATAATCTTTTGATAGTTGCAGACTATGACATAAAAATCAATTATTATTCTATAATAATAATAATAATAATAATAATAATAATAATATTTTATGTTTACCATAAAATATAAAACTTCACATGTTTTCAAGTGAAGATAATAAACAAAATGATAAAATAAAATATTAATCACGTCACTCAAATAAAAGAATTAAATAAAAATAATTCATTAAAAAAATATAAAATCCTTCCATGTTGAATAAAGACTTAATAAAGACTAAACTGAAAATACCAAAAACTTAAAACTTACTCATTCATAAATTTTATCATATAAACAGAAATTGTGTTTCTTAAAAAATATGAATATTTTTTAAATAAATAAATTCTTATTAAACTTGGTATTACTGCTACTTTTTAAAAAAAATTATATATTTTTTTATTTAGAAGTATTTTTATTTAAATAAATTGATATAATAAAAATTAATCAAATTTAGTTTTTACTTGGTTTTAGATTTTAATTTTTGTATCTTTTAGTTTTATCAAATTTTACATTAAATATTATATTTATTATGTGATTTATCTCCTTACCTCAAATTCTTATTTATAAATTTTGTTTTGAGGTTTTGATTATAGTTTATCTAATTATAGCATGACTAATCATACTTTAACCCTAAGTAAAATTATTTTGGAGTTGATATACTTTTGTCTTATTTGGACTATTCGATTTGGTGATTGGTTGTTTGATATGTTGTCTGGGTGTCTAATATGATGATTTACGTTGATTTGTTGTTGCCTTGGTAGTTAATCGTCTGGCTTGGTAGTTTGTTGTTCGTGTGTTATTTGTCTGTCTAGGTTGATGGGCTATCGTTCAGTCTGATAGTTGATCGTTTAGACTGATGGCCATCGTCGAGTCTATTAGATGACCGTCTAAATTGATGGACAATTGTCTAATATGTTAGTTGCTCGTCCAAGTTGATGGATTGTCACGTGATTTATTAGTTGATCATTCATATTAGAATTATTATTGACTTTGTGATTAACTAAACGGTCATACAATATAAATATAATAATTAGTTATATTTATAAAAAAGAAATATATAATAATAGATAATACAAAATTAAAATATGGGTTAAATATGTTTTTAATCCCTAAACTAAACTATCAAGCGAATTTGTTTTTAGTCCCTCTTTCAAACTAAGCTACATTTTGGTCCTTCTCCTTAAGGAAACCATAATTTTTCGTCCTCCAAAACTAACAGCGTTAAAAATAAGTTGAGGTGGCTAACGGTGGTATGCCACGTCATTTTTTTTTTCTAACACTATTCAACCTTTTTGAGCTCCTCTCCCTCCCTCTCCCTCCGACTCTACCACAGTCACCTCGAACACCTCCACCGTGATCGCGAGCCGCCCCTTCCTTTCCACGGTCGTCCCCTGGAGCCGAATCTTGAAGTCTTTCACCTCCGCCACCGTGAAACTCAGCCCCTGGTCGTGGTGCCTCCTATAAGTCCCCATCTTCCCAAAACTTTACTTTGCGGAAAAATATCTCTGAACTTCCCCACGATCTGAAATCAAGAAAACAAAGAAGCAAAGGTCACTAAGAGTCTAACAGTAAAGTTTCCAACCATTGGGATATGATAAAATCTCATTCAATATAATAATAAGTTTCTAGTGATAATGATTTTCACTTCACTTTCATTCTGTCCATCATTATCATAAAATCTTTCAGATTAGAAGTAGCCGAATGTTCACACTCCATTCCCCAGCACATCTTAATATTTTAAGATTTTATTTGCTTGACCTAGGAAATCTAAAATTTAACGCAACTACTTAAAACAGGGAAAATACAACGAGGAAACTGAAACAAGGACATTTTATTAACATAAGCACCCACTATATTCTAAACTATGGTTTGAGAAACTCGATTTCTAGCAATAGTAGAATTAGTCCCAATTTTATAAACTTAAAGTGAATGCAAGAAGCATATTTTAAACAGAAAAACATCAGAGTGTGTAAGGTCAACTTCCAATATAGATCTCACCAATTATTGGTTCAAATGTTAGCTTTCTCTGAAATGCATTTCCACTAACAATTTCCATATCCTAACAAATCAAGATGCATTCCATGGGAGGCCGGATGACCGGGGCCGGATGCTTGAGGCTGAATGGTTGAGGCCAGATGGCGGAGCAATTGATGTCCTTTAAAACATCACTCATTGATTCCTTATGGCTACAATGAGGGATACTCGCTCGACCCCACGGTGGACGCCAAAATGTTTCGGACATAGGGTTGAAGTCCCATACTCAAAGCACTCCAAATTGTCTCGAAGGCCGGACGAGCTACCTAGTGGTCCTTCAGTTGGCACGTAGGGCGGACGAACTCCCTCGTGGTCTCCTTTCTCCAAGTTATGTTGTTCGTTCTTCCTCCTCCTTGGCCAAGCCATGTAAGCGGATACCTGTCAAAAACACTCCGACGCTCAAGCTAGTAATATAACCGAGCGATGGGCACAACAAGTAATTCATATATTGTGCATCGTGATCTTAAAGTCATATTTGAGATCTTTATTTATACTAGTTGTGATGAGCCTTTACCTTTCGTTGGCCTAATGAAGGTCCAATCACACCTTAATCTACATTAGGAGCTTAATGAGTTATTATCGTTTATAATTTAATCATGTGGTTGGCCTAAGTGGTCGATCTGGGTAATCGATCAACCTAGTCTGATGGTGTTAGGAGACCATACGATACACAGTCCGATTGTCGGTCTAGGTAGTCGACCGACCTAGTCTGGTGATACCACAAGATCGTAAGGTACAACGAGAAATTTCAATTTAATTTACTTGAATTTACACAATTATTATTTATGAAATTAAATATTATGAATTTTTTTTATCTTGTCATTTACATCTTTAAACTATTCTAAAAGTTGCGAGACAGTATCTAGTGACATGACTTCGGGTAACACGAAATTGAGGATTATTAATTTTAACTTTATAAAGAAAGTATAATATAATAAAAAAATGAGTGACTTAGGAAATTCCCATTTTAATTTAAATAAAAAAGTATAATATAATAAAAAGGAGTGACGTAGGAAATTCACATTTTAATTTAGTAGAAAACAGTATAAACATTTTTCTCATATTCCAATTTCCAAATAAAGAAGAATAATCAAAGGTTTAAATCCCGCTAACATGTCATTCGGAGAGTGTTGAAAGGTGAAGGAAGACCCTAACAAGTGAGAGAGTGAAGGTTTGAGACGATGGAGAACGACGAATTGTTCGAAAATTGGGATGACGCGATGCTTGAAGAGGCCGTTGCCCTCGCTGACAACGCACCAAAACTAACCTCAAACTCTTATTCTTCTTTCTCCTTCTCAGACGACCAACGCTTCGTACCACCAAAACCATACTTTCACTCACTTCCTTCAACCTCTTATCACCCTCCGCCACCGCTTCCTCCCGCCACCTTTTCCTCCGTTTACTCCGCCCCTTGCTACTCGCCTCCGCGGGAGCTCTCTCAGAGGAACTCCGCTGTCATTGTCGGTCCGCCTCCGAATCCTCCTTCCGACAAAGACCTCGAGATCGAACGCTTAAAGGTAGTATCCACTAATCTCCAAATGGAAGTAGATGCACTCCTATTCCATTTTTAGGTCTTTCACTTTATATTCAAACGCTGTGTCGTTGTTTATTGTGTTTTCATTTTTATTTACAGAACTGCCACTTTGTCATACTACTACTTTCAAATATTTCTACAGGAGAAAAGAAAAACTGTTAGGAAACAGGTTGAGAGCAAGTTTCGGTTTAAGTGAAAACGTAAATATTTTCTCAAAGGGGATTAAGTTTTAGTTTTGGAATTTCGACGTGGAGGGCAATAGTAGAGGGACTATAATATACCTGTTATTTGGTTTCGTCGGTCAATTATTGTCAATTGATTTTAAGATGCAGAAGGTGTTTTTTCAGTCGTTATCATTTGAGTTTTTTTATTGGTAGTGCTCCTCTAGTTGTGTTGTTGTTTGTTTTGGAAGTTACAAGGGAGGGAAAAAGGTATTTGCCATGCTGGATTGTTCTAATGTTTGTCAAAATATTCGCTTATTTTTTTCTTGTACTAAACTTGGCATTTTTGGTTGGTGGCACTGGCATGTACAGAGGGAGCTGGAACATGCAACACAGCAGATTGAAAATCTGGTATGCCTGGGCAACTATATACTCGCATTGGCCTTTTTGTTTTTTGTTGACTAGATTATGTTTTATTTGTTGACACTTCTGTTGCTGCTTCAAAATTTTAGTTGAGAGGAATATCATAACTCGATTGCATGCTTTCAGGAAAAGGAGCGTGTCAAGTTCAAGAAAGAAAGAGACAAGAAAGAAGATAAACCCAAATTCACGTCTTTTAGTAACGGAGGAGAAAGTGCTTGCGCTAACTGTTCAAAGGCAAAGAGTATAAACAAGTAAGTCATTTTTAAATTTTTTTTTTACAAGATGTTCTAATTGTGTGGTTCTAGGACAATAATGTCCCCTTTCAGTTGCATCTCAGATTAGTCAACAAAACAGCTTGCAGTTTAGCTCGTTAATTTATTGCAGCTTTATACGTGTTGCATATGTGTGTGTGATTAAGTTGCTTGAGTAATAGTCTAGAATGAGTTTAAGCCATAAGCAGAAGGGTCAAGGTACACCATGACAAATAACTATCCATTGTTGCATATCAGGCCAGAGGTTGTCTTTTATTATTTTTTATCCTCACTCATTCTAATGCAATGTTGTGTTCCACGTGGCAAAAATGGCAGGGATTTTGGAACTGTTGATCCCAACTGTCATAACACTTCAAAATTTAAAAATGGAGTATCTTCGCACGTTCCAATTGGTGAGACATGAGAAAAACCTCTTTCTCATTTTAAAGAATTTTCTGGTTACTTGCATGTGACACCCTCTTGAATTGTTTTTGTTTTTATTCCAGCTGAAACTACTTTTAAAGCTAAGGGAGTTCAAACAGACATAGAAGCCCAAGGTGCTTCAAGTGATGATCTCTCGGCTTATCTTGATCTTTCCCAGAAATTGCGGGCAATATGGGGTTCTCCAACTAAAAAGATGGGACATAATGTGATATCCAAGTTGCTTGCGGGTTGTCAAAGAGATTTTCATATTCTCTTTGGCTGCATGAATATGAGTCTGCCCTCTGAAATAACTAGAGAATTATTTTCAGATTTAAGCTCTTCAGGAGTAGCTTTGCATCACCTCAAGGATCGTTATCTTACTCCAGAGGCAGCAAAGATATCAAATTTCTACCTTGCATTAACAAAGGTATTAATTCAGCTCTCCGTTTTTACAAGTCTTCCTGTAGAACTCACATATGAAGTTGTGCATTTCTGATCCAGTGGAAATTTCCAGACATCAAATAGTTTGGTTTAAAGTAGTGATTAGTGAGTGTCTTTCACTTGATCATTGCTTTTGAATTTTTTTCCAAAAAAAAGTCAGGTAGCACAGACTCTGAATTTTGTGTTAGATTATAATTCTTGCATCTTTGGTTTCTCCACATGGTTGTTATAAAGTGGTTTTGTTGTTAGATATACAGAACACTCTTCTCGTGTGCACAATTATTTTTATTTCTGGTAATTTATCCATGTCAAGTGTGCTATTATAAGGATTTCCCAGTCATCATTTTCTGCATTTCCCTTCTCTAATAGTATCATAGTTTAGTTTGTCTTTATTTTCTTTTGAACTGGTTCCTTTTGCATGTTAATATGTTGGATATGTTAACTGTTGGTATTAAGATGGCTCTATTGTTCAATCATGTTAGTGAGATTGTATACCATCCAGTTATTGATATGTGTTACAGATAGCTGATGGAACAGATGTTTTGGAAACTTTAATTGGACCACTGCTTGATCTCTGTGGAATGGAAAATGTAAGTACTTTGTGAATTAATATTTTGTTCTCCAATTGCTTGCAAACTTATATTACTATTACCTGTGGGTCATAAGTTTTCCTTTTAAGTACTAGGTCTACAGAAAGATGATTTGATAGAGATATTTTAATGGATTATAGAGGTTCTTAAGGATTCAATTATTTTCCTTTGTAAGTGACAGTAATAATTAATATTCATAGTTTAGGAAGCAAGAGTATAAATGAACAGAAAAAGAATTTTCTCGTAGAATTGAATGGAAAGAATTGCAAATGGGGGAACTATCCTTCAAGGGTTTCCCATTCACAAAGGATTTCTCCTTTGAGCAAATGCTTAATCTACAAAATGATACAAGCAATGAACCTTCCCCCTATGTGTTCGTATTTATTAACTCTCTTTCTCCCTAACTAACCGCTCCAACTTTTACTAACTAATTTGCTATTTCCTCTCTCCTAACTCTGTATTGCTAACATATAGGCAATGCATATTGGATTACAAGGTTGTCAAACAGATTCATAAAACAGTTTGCTTTATGGTAGGCACTGTAAGATGCATGAGATATTAAAATTCAACAAAGCTTTTGATTCTTGAATGATCGTTGACCATTAATTCAATTGCAATCCTGAGGCCCACATAGTTTACAAGGCCAAAAGCTTGCTTGTACTAGTCAAAACCTGAATGTTGTATATTGAGCATATGAAGAGTTGGAACGTTGGACATAAGTGTCCACCTGCCCTTGGCATAAAAAATGGTTAGAAAGAAAGGAAAGAGATAGTAGGCTCTTAGGCACAGTTAGATCAGTTAGAGAGGTTAGCCAATTAGAGGGGATCAATAAGAGAGAATGGGGGAAAAGGGGGGGAAGAAAAGGATTTGTAATTATAATGATTGTATGAACAAGGGAACTCTTTGTTAAGGGGAAGCCCATGGAGGGGAATTATTTCTCCTTTTCTCAGTTGTTAATGAAATTGTTCATTCCCTTTGTTTGCCTTCTATCAACTTCTCATTTCTCTTTCCTGGGCTGTAACAGAAACTAAGAACAACTCCCCTCATTATAAAGGTTCAAGTATTTGAGCCTTGTATTCTATATATTTGACATAGATTGAAGTTTGTTACATCTGTTTTCTAGAACCAAGTTTTGATTGTATTATAATGGACATCTTTGCAATGCAGTTATGATTTTTATAAAATGATTTTTTATTTATTTAGGGTTTATTGAGTCACTATTTGCTCATGTCATTTTATGCTTTTTATGATATTCTAAAACTGGAAGTCTAGTGTGGGGTTTATAGGGGCTTGGTCTTGCCAACTGCTAGCTTTTTGGTATGGTTCTCTACCAAGGTTCTTATCAGTCAATATGCTTTAAAATTATCATATTGCTTTCTCAAGTTTGTGAAACTAGTTTATTCGGGTGTTCTTTTTTCTCTTGCTCGCTATTTTTATAATCCATGAACCTTTATTGACAAAGCTCCTCCCTCTTGCATAGGTTGTTATTGTCCATAGTTCTCTATGTGTACTACACATGCTTCTGAAGCTCCTACTGGAACTGGAAAATATTGCTGGAAGGAGGTATGCATTGTTTGAATGACGTTTTCCCTTGTTTTTAACAACTGTGTTAACTGTGTATCCCTTGTCCATTAGCCCAAGGTTACCATTTGAACAGGTTCTTTTTTCTCTGTGTCATGAATCATGATATTTATATTATATTTTAATTAACAACTCTATCAGATCCGTGAGTTGTGATCAATTGGCTGGTCTGGGTTTGATTTGTATGATGAAAACATGAGAAAATTGAATGTCTTCTCAAGCATGTCAAACTTGTATGGGTAATACTATGATCAAGAAACACTCACTGGGTGGAATGTTGTACCTGGACTATCAAGCTGTCCCTGTCCCCTAGTTTGACTGTTCATTTGGGTGCGAGGACTTTGGTGACCTGGGGAGGGAAATCGTGGAATGAAGTTTGGTCAGCATTATTGTTGATTTACTGAAATGCATCATTGTAGTAAACAATTCTTTAATATGATGTTGTTGGAAGTCCCACATCGACTAGAGATAAGGCCAATTTATAAGTGGGTTTTAAAGCCTAACTCAACCCCACAAAACCGGCTTGTAAGGTGAGGTTTGCTCCTCACTTATATATTATAATTTGGCCTTATCGCTGGTCGATGTGGGACTTTCAACACACCCCTTTCACGCCGAGGTATAGACATCTCGTGTGTGAGAGTAGAAATTGGGTGGTCCGATAACGGTCCGATAGTGGGTGGAATAGAAGAATAGAATGTCCACTTAGAACTCGCTAGGATAGGTTTTAACCATGGCTCTGATACCATATTAGAAGTGGGCTTTAACCATGGCTTTGATACCATATTAGAAGTGGACTTTAAGCCTAACTCAACTCCACAAAACCGGCTTGTAAGGTGAGGTTTACACCTCACTTATATATTATAAATTGACCTATCTCTAGTCGATATGGGACTTCCAACACCCCCCCTTCACGTCGAGGTATAGACATGTCGTGCGTGATAGTAGAAATTGGGTGGTCCGATAACGGCCCGATATCGGGTGGAATAGAATAGAATGCCACTTAGAACTCGCTAGGATAGGCTCTAATCATGGCTCTGATACCATGTTAGAAAGTGGGTTTTAATGCCTAACTCAACCCCACAAAACCGGCTTGTAAGGTGTGGTTTGTACCTCACTTATATATTATAATTTGGCCTTATCTCTAATCGATGTGGGACTTCCAACAGACGCAATCAGAAAGTTCTGCATGGCCTTTGTGATCTAGAATGTCTTTTCTACAGTTTAGTGATTTGTACATTTTTGCCCCTTTGGCAGCTAGACTAAAAATCCAGGATAGGTTATAAGTTGGTGGATGGCTGTACTTTCTGTGAAGTCACTTTTTCTTTCTTTCCTTGTTGCTGTTCCAGTTCTTATGAACTTATGATTTGATCTTTCCAGTGCACTCTGCTCAGGGACAATGTCTTCATTGAAGGACTTTGCGATGCGAAAGACCTGGGGGATTTTGGTGTAAAAGATGAAAGTCTTGTTGATGAAGAAATAGAAAGTAGAAAAGAATGCCAGAACCATCAAAACTCCTTACAACCTCATGTAAATTGGGTGTCTCTTTTTGAGATAATGCATCAAATTGCCATGAGGATCACAGAAGAAAGAGTGAGAGTGGAGGCAGTATCTATTATGAAGCTGCTTTTCCTGAGAAGTAATGCTTACTTTGAGAGGGAACAGTAAGTCTAATTGTCCTGTTTTACTTTGAAAAATTGACTTATGAAGATATCATGTTCATTCCAAGAGTTTGTGTGAACACAGGTTTAGCCAGAAAGTAGTTTTTAAAACTATTTCCGAATTGCTAAAGAAGGATGCTGGGCTGTGTGTGAAGAAACACACTCTAAGACTTCTATACCTGGTTTTGAATTGTAAGCTTCCTCTGCTAACCAATTTGTCAATTTTTTTATTTTTATTTTTATTTTTTATTTTTTTGTTCCGTACTACATAATTTGATTGCTGGCACCCTTCATTTCAATCGTTTTAGCAATTGCTACATGTAGCCGTATAGACTTCCCTTGTGTCTTTTATTGTAGCTTTGTAGGAATGTAAGGGTTTTGAAAGGAAATAAATAATTTGCTGATTGTTTTTATTTGTTGAATGCAGACCTACGTTGTAGATATCGGTTGGCTTGAATGAAATTATTTTGCATTACTGCTTTTAATAGTATGTTCTAGTCCCAAATTTAAAAACATGAGTTTATTCTCAAATTTGTTAAATATCAACAACATTTTGTTGGCACCTTTTGTTTCTTGTTGTTAAAATAAATAATCTTTAATCGGATTTATTGGCAGGTGTAATGTGCTTTGTGCTGGACCTAGTTCCTAGAAGTATTATTTAGAATTCTTTCCTATTTCCTCTCATTCATAGCATCTGATCATCCCAAGCTATTATAAATATGAAACCCAACCCTAACAGAGTAGAAGATATACTCTCAAATTCACTCTAATTCCACTGTATTTTTTCTCAAGTTGGTGTCAAAGCGGGTCGGTCCTGCTCTTTCAAAGTAATTGTCACTGTTCATGTTGTTCGTTGTTGTTTACCACTTGAAATTCGTCTTCTAACACTAGGGTTTGGTGTGTGTTGGTGCTTGGAAGTTCTTTATTCAGGAACATTTTTCTCTTCCTCTTTCTATTATTACTGCTCCTAATATCCACTTTCCAAATCTTTGCCCCATATTGGGTGCTATTGTTGGGCTTTGATTTTCGTTGATCCTGAACTAACATAAGCTCTTATAAACAGTATAGAAGATTGTGGCATTTCTAAAGTAAATTAAATATCATGTTGCTTTTACACAAGGTATGATACTTATTTATTGAATAAAGGATCTTCAGATAGATCCTGCCTTGAACCTCCACATACCCGACTTCATAGGATATCTATTTTAGATTTCTAGCTTTAAATTGAGAGTTAATATCAGTTTGTATCTGCTGTGCGTTTCATGCAGATACTGGCTTTTTTATATGTATTTTTTGAACTTTTATTTTCACGCATTCAAGGTCCAAAATTGTTGGCTGCTTTCTGCTGTGGATGCAAAGAGGGTGATGCTAGCAGTGCTATGAATGAGAATGAATCGACTTCAGATTTCCAATATTTTAAAATCATCCTTCAAGGGTTGTCTGATTGTGTAGCCCCTCATAGGAGTGGTTTACAGGTATGTTTGCTATCAAAGATTCTGCAATGTGATATCAATTGAGATTTGATTAATTTATTATGAATTATGTTGGATAGCACATTTATTGTGATATAGTCCATTTGATTATACAGCTGCCAGTGGAAATGCCTTGTGAATTTTTTTTGGAGTTCAAATTGTAGATAATTTATAGAATAAATGAGTAACTTACATTTAGAAGTGAAAAGCGTAGCCATCTAAATTACTTTGATTTTATTTTATCATTTGCATGTACGTTTTCCACACTTCTGAAACTTTTGAGAGGAAAATTAAGATTGAAAGCTTTGTTATTGTCTTCTATGATAGGGATGTAGTCAAGCGACTTCAGTTTGGGGAAAGTCATATATATTTCAAAATATTACTCCCTAAAATTTAGGTAATTCTAATTTCAGGGATTGAAAGTCAGCAGAAATGTGATTCTTGTTCTGGCATTCCTTGCATCGTCTGGACAACCGGGTTTTGAAATTTTTGTTGGTCATAGGCTCTCTAATAGAGGGGTAAACTATCTTATGTTGATTTTGCAATTACTGGTATCAGAGATGGATCTCGAAGCTGAATCATATGAGCAGCAAGCAGAAATTTTCAGGGAGAGGTAATAAAACTCACTGTTTGTGATATCCTTATTTTGGAAGTGATATATAATATTACAAAATGTATATAAATTCTTGAAACATAATAAATATATAATTATAATCGTGGAAATCCTAATTAAGATTACATTTATTAAAATATTGTCAAATAAAAAATTATGAATTATTATCGTTATAAAGTATTAGTGCTTTTTAAATAAAATATTTCTTATTGGTTTTGTGCGACTGGTTTATTGTGACTGTCAGGACATTTTTGATACGGGAGATACTGATATTACTTAACAGACTAGTGTCGAATCCTTCATATTCTGGCACAGTCTTGCGCGGTTTAACGAGCACTAGGGATATGGCTGGTTTGACAATTGATGTTGCAAGCAGATTATCACGGAAAGGAAAAAAAAATGAGCAGGACAGTATGGTGAAGCATATAAGAGAAACTGAAATTGTAGACCTTGCTCGCCTCTTCAAGAAAAGAATATTCGCTTATTTAGGTGATAACGTATCGTGATGTCCTCTTCCAGTGGTCAGATTTTGTACATATACACGTTTGTATCATTCTATTCAGGTGGGAGCTGGTACTCAAATGGTGCACATGCAGCAAGGGCACGATGGTCGTTCAGCCCAGAATTTTGACTGCGATGAAAAGAGTGTTTCTCATTCAAAATTTTTTGTAATTGAAAGTTATAATTTATTGCTCGAGGTTAAGCAATGTCATGTTTGAGAAAATGACGTACCGTTTATATTTTTGTGATGCACCATTTTTGTCGAAATGTTATTTCCCTTGAATTATTCCACACTACCATTTGTTTCTTCATTTTTAGGCAAATTGGCTGAATTTTTATGTCTTGAAAGATCATTAGAAGTAAAATTCAAAATAATGCATTTAGAATTAAAATTATATTATTTGGTAGTTTTTATTTTTAATTTATAAGAGAAGACATAAGGTGAGAAAGGCAACATGGGAACGAACGGATAAACTTCAGTTTGAATATCTACACTACACGGATGGAAAATTCACACAGATTAATGTTAATGTGAAGTCATTAAATAAAACACGGAGACTGCAATAAAATGAAATTATTATATGAAAGTATATTTAGCATGTATATCAGATCCTGTGAAATTACTTCATGTATATTGTGAATTTAATTTAATGTTGTACCATGACGTTGTTCTATTTTGTTTTTTTTTTTTTATAATTCTCTTGCAACTGTATTTTCTATTTATTATTTCCTTTAAACTGATATATATATTTCCCATCTCTTTACAAATGTATCATGATTAATTTCTTACGTAAATCATAACGATTCTCACATAAAACTGATTCATATGAATTTTTAATTCATTAAATGATTTTTAATTTATATTTTAAGACGGAAATTTTAAAAATTAGTCATAAATAAAGTAACTTTCTATAAATTAAACCTCGTAACGTTTTTTTTAAATAAAAAGCCTAATTTTAAAATTTAAAAGAGAATGCGATTTCGTGATACGCGCTAGCATGAGTTTTGGTTGGAAATATAAGATTTTGTCTTTCTTACATCTGCATTAAGAGTTCATCTAGGTAATTTTTTGCAACTTCTCTGTTCTTTTCTAATTTGTTTTTCTTTTTTAATTCACGCTCAGCATAGTTATATTAATTTCAATTACATTGATAATAAAATATATCTTGTAAATGGCACAACTGCTTATATCACTTTATTTCAGTAATCATGAAAAGATAGAATCGAATCTGAATATGTAATATAGGAAGAATTGTATTATACAATTTGTGTATTCAATAATGGTGATTATGCAATTTATTTACATTGATCAAATTTAAACAAAGGTGAACAAAAACCTACACCTTTATTTGAGCACTGACTTCTATACAGGAAATGAGTCTGCTCAATTTTTAGTACAGTTTAGGTAATATAAAGAAATTGTTACACTTCCCTGGATGCTGTTAACGTTGTTGTCCAATTAAGCTGAAATTTCAATCTGATTCAAATCCAACTCATACTGTAGAATTGTACCAATCATTTCACAATTTAGAGCTACACCTTCCACTGAATACGAGGTTCATGACTTCTTATGAGAGTGCCTGATCTAGGAGAACAATCTCTGCTGAAAGTGTCCAAAGCATAAACATCCCAACCTCCATCTCTCCAGTAGGTAGAATAGACATCTGGAATATGTAAAACTTTGCAGTAATCTTTTCCGGGACCATGTGGACATATTGTCTTCATCAGTTCATCTGGCATATCGAAAAACTCAAGGACTTTCAACTTAGTTAAATTCTCAATGCCTGATGGAACCTTCTTCAACAATTCACACCGCCCTATACTCAGTTTTTCTAGGCAGTTCATGGCATCCTTCCCCACTGTCACTTCTTTGAGTCCGTCAAATTTGTCAAGACCTAAAACCTTGAGCTTCTTGAACTTTCCACTCCTAAAATGCAAAGTGTCACCATCATAAACCTTAAGTAGTTCAAGATGTGCAAGGTTTGGAAGATCTTGTAGATACACTAGAGGATCGTATCTTAAACAGCTCCATTTCAGAAATAACCTGGCTAGGCTATGAAGAGACTGTATCCAACTTGGTAACTCTTGTAGACGCCCTGACAAATACAAGCGTTGAAGAAATGGAGGTGGCGAACAGAGAAATGTCAGATCAATGACTTTACTCTCACCCTCAGAAGCAATAGAGAGGGCATGAAGATTAGTTAATCTCTCAATGGACAAACAGAAAGCCATCCCATCTTCCTCTCTAAGTTTCAAGATTCCCAACCTTCTTAGTTGACTTAGTTCCCCTAACTGCCTTATTATCATTCCACAGTCTTGGTTTGCCTCCACAAAACAAAGCTTTTGTAGTGACTTTAATTTCCCTATTTCAGAGGGAGCCTTAAGACCATCTTTGGAGTGAAACTGTGCATAACCTTTGAATTTCAACTGATAGACAAGGAGATGACGAAGCTTTTGAAGCTTGAGAATATCTACAGGCAATTCTCTGACAGAAGTCTTCTTTAGATCGAATGTTTCTAGATTATGCAACTTCCCTATTATGTGACCTGGAACTGTTTTCACCTTTGTGTTCCTTAAACTTAGATATCTTAAATGATATAGATCAATAACTGCTAGTGGAAACTTCTTCAAAGGTGCATCTTGATAATCTAAAACACTAAGCAGTTTAAAACCACTTGGGAACAGTTTTCCAAGGGGTACATATTCTCCAACCCCAAACATTAAAAAAGAACGGAGTTGAGAGACAGACCTATGTTGTTGCCGATATGGTAATGTGCCGTGCACTGAAAGCCGTCGAATCTTTTCTGGCCATGCAGCACTTTGTTCTTTGACAATGGATGCAAAGTTTTGGTCTTTAGACTTCAAAATGATGATCTCCCGTAGAAGATCATGGACTCGCAAAGTTTTGACCCTTCCATCAGTTGTTGTACCTGCTACTTGTATTAAGTTTCTGTTCAGGAGCTCCTTCAGGTAATCATGTGCAACATCTTCCTTTGTTTTTCCTTCTTTGGCTTCAATAAATCCTTCTGCTATCCATAAGCGAATCAATCTCATGCGCTGAATCAGATAGTCCTGAGGAAAGATGCTTAAGTACAAGAAACAGTATTTCAAATGGTAAGGTAAATCATTAAAACTGAGGTTGAGTACAGTTTTAAAATTATCAAGTTTGCCTTTGCCTTGAATTTCAGCTCCAATACTATGGCAAATCATACCCCACTCATCAATCCTGCGCTTGTCTTTTGTGGCCAGGACACCACTGATTGCTACAATTGCAAGGGGAAGACCCTCACATTTTCTTAAGATATATTTACAGATGTCAATCAAATATGAGGGACATGAATCACCCTGAAAGGTGTTTCTACAAAATAGATCCCAAGCCTCATCTTGTTTCAAGGGTTGCAAGTTATACACTTTACCGTTGGATTCTATTGTGGAGGTAAAGGCTAAATCAGANCGCAAAGTTTTGACCCTTCCATCAGTTGTTGTACCTGCTACTTGTATTAAGTTTCTGTTCAGGAGCTCCTTCAGGTAATCATGTGCAACATCTTCCTTTGTTTTTCCTTCTTTGGCTTCAATAAATCCTTCTGCTATCCATAAGCGAATCAATCTCATGCGCTGAATCAGATAGTCCTGAGGAAAGATGCTTAAGTACAAGAAACAGTATTTCAAATGGTAAGGTAAATCATTAAAACTGAGGTTGAGTACAGTTTTAAAATTATCAAGTTTGCCGTTGCCTTGAATTTCAGCTCCAAAACTATGGCAAATCATACCCCACTCATCAATCCTGCGCTTGTCTTTTGTGGCCAGGACACCACTGATTGCTACAATTGCAAGGGGAAGACCCTCACATTTTCTTAAGATATATTTACAGATGTCAATCAAATATGAGGGACATGAATCACTTTGAAAGGTGTTTCTACAAAATAGATCCCAAGCCTCATCTTGTTTCAAGGGTTGCAAGTTATACACTTTACCGTTGGATTCTATTGTGGAGGTAAAGGCTAAATCAGATCTACGAGTGGTGATCATGATCCTGCTACTACAATTGTTGTTTGGCAATGCATATTTGACAGCTTCCCATTCATACATATGCCACACATCATCAAATACTACTAGATACCTCTTCTTCTGCAGCAAGTCTTTGATTATCATTTTGAGCTTATCACTACACATGCTTTCCATTCCCTCTGGAATTGGTCGCCTTATCTCAGAAAAGAGCTTCTTGGCCAAGTCTTTGAGAAGCTCTTCAATTTTACAAGATTGAGAAACAGTCACCCAAGCACAAGCTTTGAAGTGTTTTTTTACGTCTGGATCATCATATACTTTCTTCACCAAAGTAGTTTTTCCTATCCCTCCCATTCCAGTAACAGAAATAACTTTTCGTCCAGGACAACCATTGATCAACCATCCTATAACCTTTTTTTTTGGCCTGTCTATGCCCACTAGATCAGTGTTGTCCAGGAGAAGAGCATCTCCTCGTTGATCGTGCCATGCGTTACCTGTTTCAGGATATGTAATAGTGTAAACAGCAAAACAAGTACATATGTATTGATACTGATCTATCTTGAACAAAGGGAAAGAAGAGAAATAATTTCATAATTGAGTGACATGACCATTAAGGATATTCATCACTTTGAATAGAGTCTGTGCCAATTAGTAGTACCTGTATTAATGGAACTTGAAGCCACTGAAGAAGAGTCCAGTTTACTGAGGAATCTCTTACGACTTGAAGAAATAGCTTTCAAGCGGGAGTTGATGCTTTTTAACTCATGTGCAATCCGATAGCGAGCTTTCATATTCCTGATACGGAGATAAATAGAGAATCCATTGGTTAGGTTATGTACCTGGACAAGTTCCAATTCATCAAGAAGATCTTCGGCCTCATGAACAACATCTCTGACTTGCTTAACCCAAACTTTAAGTTCCTCGTCGCTCTCTTCTAACGCATCTGCAACCCTTAAGAAGGCTCTTATTAGCTCCAACTGTCCTTTCAGGTATATCACTTCTGCTTGAACTCCAGTGAACAATTTCACCTTATTCTCAAAAACAGGTGTAAGCCTTTTGAGAAGAAAACGCACTGCACTCTCAGCCATCAACTCTGTACATTCCTACAGCAACTAGTGGAAAGAAACTTGGTTTCAAAATTGCTAGCTATAGGAAGTGCCTCCCTTTATTCAACTCAGTGATGCTTGATTTACAGATAATACATGAGATAGAGATGCAAGACTTTTTTATCTCACAAAAAATTGAAATATGACAGCATCACCAGTAGATAACTGTTTA